ATAAAAATTATAATACACTATAATTCCTACTCCGTAAGAATAATATAATAGGCAATTTACAACATGTGCCTATTTACAAGTTTTTTTTTTTTCTTGTGGCCCCATTAGAGTATAGGAGTTATGGGAATATAGGAAATTAGATGCATGAAAGTAGGATTGTATTTGATTTCTTCATTATTGTTGTCGGCTTAGCACAGTGCCTGGCACATGGGAGGCGTTCGATAAACATTTGTTGCATGGGGACTACTGTGCAACACACGATCCGTGCACATTTTCAGGGAAGGCGAGCATCGTTAATGATGCATCATCAGAACACATTTCAGTATCTTAGACTTGGCCGTTTTTAGGGTGTTGTGATGACAGAGGTAGCAAAAATTTGATAAGAAATCTGGAGTTGTTTGTGGAAGGGAGTTTTTAAGTCTGGCGATTTTCACCATCTTAAAATGGTGAGTTTTCCACTCTCCACAGAGTTTCAGATTGTAAGGTCAGGAACAAAGTGCCTCTGAAGTTCCTTGAATTGCAGGCCTCACAGCTGTCCCTAGGGGGTTCCCAATTATTTGTGGGACTGGCCACTTTGAAACTGCAATGGGGATTTCAATTTATGACACAAATGCCAGTGATACTCATGGGGATAGCGACGTGGTTTAGGCAAAGAGCTTGACCGATGGACCCTTTGATAAGGACAGGCTCCTAAGAGGCCAATAATGAGGAAGGCAAACATCTTTGGATTAATACTAGTCACCTACTCCCTCTCTTCACTGTCTCTGGTCACCTGTGTACCCTGCTCTAAAAGCTTGGTTTTACGTGTGTTAAATTCCTTCTTTCGTGGGATCTGGCCATCAAGACTCTCCTAAAGGTGGACGCCCCGGGCCTCCAAGGCCTTTTCCTGGGCTACAGACACACTGCTGTGCCTTTACACATACTTTTGAGAGATTGGGTTTCCCAGGCTCTCGGCTGGTGCAAAACAAGAAAACTGGATGTTTTAGCTCAACGGCAGTCAACCTCAGGCTGAGGAGGGGCATATCCCACTCCGTCCTGAGGACTCAGCCTGAGAGAGAAAAATCAGGCAGTGGGGAGAGCTTTTGCTTAGGATTCAGGACTGTGGGGAAAGTCCCATCCACCCTTGGGCCTCATTTTCCCCCATCTGTGAACTGGGAGAATGACCTCAGAGGAATCCTTCAGGGCAAACCCTTTAGCCACTCACGCCCTGGTGCTGGAGAAGGGGCTCCTCTCCCCACCTGGACCAGGACCACCTCTATAACGGATGCTGGAAGCTTCCACCGGATGCCTCGTCTTTTCGGACTCCAG